CTCGGACAAGACGGGAAATAAAGTAATGGCTGGAAAAAGGAAAAACATGCACATTTAATTAGCACATTTCAAACCTACACTGATAAATATTTAATCAACAATGAATATTTTCTGTCTCTCCTGACGTGTGAGGAGCTTTTCATTTAGCCAAGTGCATCTCCTAAACTCTGCCAAGATACTGTGCTGATTAAAAAACACACACAGGTTCAAAATCCAGTTGTTGCAGCATTTCTGTTTTTAGAATCCTTTCTCTCTTAATCAGCAGACTAGTGTACAACAATGTCTAAACATTATATACAGATAGAGAGTTATAGGAATATAGAAATATGATGGTTGAGTGTGTAACCTACATTATTACAGGGCATCTTTGAATACTCGATTCTGATTGGTCGAGTTAGGCACTAACCGGTCTGTATTTTCTGTAATAATCATGTTGTTCGATATAGATTTGAAAACTATGAAAAGAGCTTAGATAACGGCTTCAGTTCTCTGCAGGGAAGGACAAGCGGTGAAAATATAGCGAACAATTAAACTAAAACTTTTTATTTTAGGCAGTAAAAACATGTATCTTAAATGATATGGAATAAGTGAACAGGAGGAAACTAAGTATGGAAGAAATAAAGAGACAGGTGGTAATTCAGGTCTAATGAAGGATTCAGTCTGAACTGGCTGGCTGGAGGAATCACTGGGAGGCCTGGACATGCATCACACACACACACTCACACACACACTCACACACTCACACACACACAGTCTGCCCAGAGTGGTCAGGCTTCAGTAGCAGCCTTATCCATGCCCTGCTATAATAGGACCTGAGGGAGATGATTCTGTGTATGTGTGTCTTGTTTTCCACAGCCTTTTGACTCTCAAATGTGTGTGTGTGTGTGTGTGTGTGTGTGTGTGTGTGTGCTGTACCATCAAAACACACATATACTATACAGAAAAAACACACATGCAGGTCAACAGCGATGACAGATGAGTCACGGACAGGAATAATGCTAATACAAAAATCAGATGAAGAACTAAATCCTGCCCCCAAGTGTGTGTGTGTGTGTGTGTGTGTGTGTGTGTGTGTGTGTGTGTGTGTGTGTGTGTGTGTGTGTGTGTGTGTGTGTGTGTGTGTGTGTGTGTGTGTGTGTGTGCAGCAGTTACCTGTGCAGACCTCGTTGTAGGAGGGGTTAGCTGTGTACCCTCCTGCGTAGCCCACCTGGGTGGAATAAACCCCCTTCTGTTTCCAGAACTTCCTCTCCACTCCCCAGAAACAGCCCATCCCTTTATGAAAAGAAAACAAGACTTTGATGAATAACAGAATTCAACATCCTTTCAATTTTAACAGTCAACCACGCAGGAACAGTCCTGTGTGTGAGGTCTTACCACGACTGTGCAACTGGTACTATACTGTAAGTCAATTAATGAGCATTTATTACAGATATTGAGTCATTGTTTAAGTACAAAATTGCAAATTGTCTTTGTTTCCAGCTTGACATGTTGAAGATTACCTCTTCGTATGTGTCAATTATGATAGAAAATGTAAAGTTTAAGTTGAAATCTTACTTTTAAAATGAAAAAGGGGAAATATGAACCATTACTGTGGACTCTGAGAAGAGGTGAAGATATGGTCAAGCATTTAACGTTAAAGGCCAGTAGTAGACAAAAAATATTCAGTCTTGGAGCAAGTCAATATGTTTAATTTAAAACATGACTTCATATTTTAAGTAAATAAGCTTAACTAGCATAAAACTAGCTGATATCAAATGGTTACCACTTGAGAAAATCAACAGTAAACTACATTTTACATTACATATATGTTTTAAATATAGAAGTGGCAAAGGGGCAACAGGTCATGGTGGTGGGGTGTTACAGACCCCCCTCAGCTGTCAAGGACTCCTTGTCTTCACTAGCAAATCTTTTATTGCAACTTGACTACAAGGAAATAGTGACAGTCCTACTCGCCCTAACATTAAGTCCCCTAATAAATCCTCCCTAATTGATCTCATTCTAACTAATGTTCCCTATAAATACCCATCTGTGGGAGTATTTGCGAATGATGTGAGTGACCACTGTGCTGTAGACACCATTAGGGACACTAAGGTCCAAAAGGTTAAACCTCGTATTATCATTAAGAGACACATAAAACATTTTGTGGAGCAGGGTTTTGTTCATGATCTGTTTGGGTTTGATTGGGGACAAATCGATCTGTGTGCTGATGTAGAACTGCATGGTCTTATTTTTATCTTGGTTTTATGGAGATCATTGATAGACATGCACCTCTACGTACTTTTAGAGTAAAGGAACGAGACAATCCTTGGTTTTCTGCTGAACTGTCCAGTCTCCTGCATGAGAGAAACAAGGCCTGGGCAAAGGCTAGGAAATCAGGCTCAGAGGTAGAATGGCTGCGTTTTAGGCAGCTAAGGAATAGCTTCACTTCACATGTCAAAAGTGCTAAGTCGGAAATTTTGGAAAGCCATAAAATCGATATCCACCGGTGAGATCCGTAATGAGCTACCTCCGTGCATTACCACAGCATCTGGCTCTATATCGGACAGGGCCACCATGTTAAATTGCTTTAATGAGCATTTTGTGTCCTGCGGTTCTATGTTTGATTCTGTGACAAACTCTGCTTCTGTGAACACCACAATCCGTGACTCTGAACAATGTGGTCTGGAAAACCCTTTCAGTTTTACTCCTTTTACTGTAAATGTTGTTCATGAAGATTTATCTAAGTTAGATCCTAAGAAACCGGCCGGCCCGGACAACGTAGAACCTTTCTTTTTAAAGATAGCTGCATATTTTATTGCTCCACCTCTCACTACTCTTTTTAACCTCTCCCTCAGCACAAACACAATTCCTAAAGTATGGAAGTCAGCGTATGTCCTGCCACTACTAAAAGGAGGGTAGGCAACTGTTTTAAATAATTATAGGCCAATCTCGAAATTGTCAGTTCTGGCTAAGGTTCTTGAACGCCTAGTGAGTGAACAGGTAAAGGAGTTTTTATGTACAAATGACATCCTGTCTAAACATCAGTCAGGTTTCAGAAAGCAACATAGCACCATCACTGCCACAATGAAAGTGGTGAATGACATTACGAGTATTTTAGATAATAAGCAGAGTTGTGCAGCTCTATTTATTGACCTTTCCAAAGCGTTTGATACCGTCGATCATCGCATCTTAAAGCAGAGGCTACTCAGTATTGGCTTATCCAGCCATGCAGTGGGGTGGTTTGTTAACTACCTCTCTGAAAGGTCCCAATGTGTTCACTTTGATGGGCTGTCTTCTGAGTGGTTAAACATTACTAATGGTGTTCCTCAAGGTTCTGTTTTAGGTCCACTTTATTCTCCATATATATCAATAGTTTAGGTGAAAATGTGGATGAAGCTACTTTACATTTTTATGCGGATGATACCGTGATGTACTGTGCACGTCCCTCCATTAAGGAGGCGGTTGTTAAATGACAGGCTGTTTTTAACATTATTCAGACTCAGCTCTCTGAACTTAGGCTTCTTTTAAATGTTGAGAAAACCAAGGTAATGCTTTTTTCAAAAGCTAAAAAGACACCAGAGCCGGTTTTAGATATTGTTACTGTGCAAGGACAAGTACTATAAGTGGTTACCTGTTATAAATACCTTGGTATCTGGCTTGATGATTGTCTTACTTTTAAACTTCATGTCAATAACCTGCTTAAAAAGCTGAGGGTTAGACTAGGTTTCTTTTTCAGAAACAAGTCCTGTTTCTCTTTTGAAGCCAGGAAAAGGCTAGTCACTGTGACCTTTTGACCTGTGCTGGACTATGGTGATTTGTTGTATATGAATGCACCTGCCCATTGCCTGAACAAGTTAGATGCCGCCTATCACAGCGCACTGAGATTTGTCACAAATTGTAAAGCACTTACTCATCACTGTACCCTGTATGCCAAGGCAGGTTTGCCATCAGTTACTGTACGGAGGCTCAGTCATTGGTACACGTTTATTCATAAAGCTTTGTTGGGTAAACTCCCGTATTATATCTGCTCTCTGATAACACAGAGAGTTGCAAGCTGCTATTGTCTGAGATCGCATGATGTAGTCTTGTTCGATGTGCCAAGAACAAGGACTGTCTTAGGTAAGACAGCTTTTATGTGCGCAGCTCCACTTGCTTGGAACAATCTTCAGCAAGAATTGAAACTGAGCAATCTCATTCCTCTGCATGTTTTTAAAGCTAGGCTAAATTAAATGCTTGTTGATACTATGGGTCAGAGGTGTGGAGTCAGACTCGAGTTACCAATTTGATGACTTTGGACTCGACTTGACAACATCACAAAAGACTTGCGACTCGACTTGGACTTGAACACCAATGACTCGGGACTTGACTTGGACTTGAGCCTTCTGACTTGAGGTGACTTGATAATTTAATTCAGGGGTCTCCAACACGCCGATCGCGAGCTGCCGTTAGGAGAGCAGACTCGCGTCGGGGAAAGCAGAATCTTCAGCCGCTGCAACTCTTGCTGAGAATCCATGCAGGCAGGGGCGGGACTTTATTTTGCTGAGCCACCATGCGGCCAATCATATGCGAGGACACACTAGGATCATACCATTATGTGAAAGAAGGGTGGGGGGCAGACGCTCCAAAGACAGCAGGTGTAGTGGTACAGGCCAGCTACACAGAGACGGGGAGCCAGATTTAAATGCAAGCGCGTCGGAAAAAGTCAAGAAATTTGCGAAAACCGAAAAAAGAAGCAGCTTCTGGCTGCATTTCAATGATATTGGAGAAAGCAAAGCTGAGTGCAGGATTTGTCAAATGAAAATAACCTTCAGAGCAGGGTTTTTATTTGGTAACCACTCAGGATTTATTGCCAGAGGTGGGAGAAGTTCAGATCTTGTACTTGAGTAACAGTACCAGAGTGTAGGAATACTCGGTTACAATAAAAAGTCCTGCATTCAAAATGTTACAAGTAAAAGTAGAAAAGTATTAGCATCAAAATATAGTTAAAGTACCACCTGCAGAGGGATCTAGATCCAGGTGTT